AAAAAAAAAAAAAAAAAAAAAAGAAAAAGGAATAATTCCAAAACTTCCATCGAATTTTCAAACTTTTTGGACTTTTCTTCATTCAAAGAACCTCGATAAAGCCAGTTCGTGTCGTTGAAATAAAATAAACCAAAGCGAACTCGAATTTACTCTCAAGTAAATCCGGATGCATCGACGAAGTTGGCCACGTGCCCCGTAGAATAACGATTTCAGAAATTTCCTGGCAGATTTGTATTATATTGTCTCGCTGCCCCGATACAACGTGTGGTTTTTTTTCTATTTTTTTTTATTTACGTACGTTACACGTATTTCCCACGACGATGAATTAGTCCCTTTATTCGCTTATTTATTCGATTTGACGTCAAAAGTTGCGCGTTCGATAATCTTCGATAAAGTGACCAACAATGACCCGGGGAATTAAAACAGTACCACGCGCCTACTTGCGACTCGGTAATCATTCGTCGATGGAAGTTTTTACTTCTTGAAAATCCTTGGCATCTTTTCCCCTCGTTGAACCTAGCATAACTGACACAAAGATAATACGTCAGTTTATATCTACATGTTATGCATTGAATATATTATAGTATCATAGAATATATTATAGTGTATTGTAGCTATAATACAGTCATAGTTATATTATACTATTTCACTATGGTATTCACTATTTCACTATGGTATCAGTGGGGGGAAACATTCACATCAAAACAGTCTCGAAGTGTCCTTCTTTTCTTTTTTAAACGAAGATTTAAAGAAGAATTGCGAAGCGAATCTTTAGCTTAATAAAAAAAAAAAAGAAGAAAACAAAGAATCTCGTGACTCCGTTATGCAATGAATTCGCGTGAATCCCGTTAGTATAATCGAATAGAGGTAACCAGGTTATGCCTCTCCCCGGCTACACGAGACGTTTAATTTTCCTTAGCCTGTCCCGTGTGCGACATCTTTTCGATTCTTCAAAATGCATTAGTGCAGCACAATGCAATGGTTAAACCGTGTAAATAAAATTTGTTGCCTGCCCAATGATAGCTTATTCTATATGCATATAGAATGTATTAATCTTTTCTTCTTTTTATTTCTGTTTACTTAAGCAAGTAATAATACACGTTCTTTCAATGGAAGTATTTAATTCCCAAACATCAGGTTAATTTCAATAATATACTTGAGATGTATCAAACATGTATGTGTTATCTTTGGACTCGTTCCAACACATTAGTGGATTGTCCTACTTTATGCCATGTAATCTACTGCTTTGACACAGGGCAATTTCCTCTAGTGAATATTTTCATTTAATTTGTCTAATTCTAGCAACTAATGAAAGAGTATTTCACACTGATACAAGAATTATTTTTTAGTTGTCGTTCTCGCCAACAACGCCTGGTTGGAGTCACGCAAGGCTTCTTGGACTTCTTGCGACTATTCTTGCGTTATCTTCATTTATGTTACTCCTGTGCACAGCTGCGGCGTTCTTCTTCGTCTCATTCAATACCTTTGTCTTCACTGCAGCTGAGGTAGGTAATGTAAACGTTTAGCTACAATAGCTTTCTATTATTCCACTTGTTTGCATTAAAAGTACATTTGATTTGAAGAAGTTCTCGTTTGTTGCAATACTTTCAGAACTCTCGCTCAATTTTGGCAATAAATAGATAATTGAACAGTAATGCAAATACATATTTTAGTAACAATTAACATTGTTAGTGATGTGTTAGTTGTCGGGTTGAATTTATGTATGAAAAGAAATCATTTATTGATGCAAAAATTTATGGGCATTATAGTTAATGAACTTTACTAATTCATGTATGTTTCTTTGTTAACAGTGCATCTTACTAGGAGTTAGAACAATTCATGTAATGGTGCGATATATAATTCACCTGTATGACACTCGTGGAGCTGGAACCTCCTCGCAACGTTCCTGGGACAAAAGGGGTCCTTTGACTTATTACACGGATCTAGCAGCAGAATTAATAGTGCTGGCTGTAGATTTTCTTCACCATGTTCATATGCTACTTTGGAGTAACATATTCTTAAGCATGGCATCCCTTGTGATCTGTATGCAGCTCAGGTATCTTTTCTACGAGATACAACGCAAGATAACAAAGCACAGAAACTATCTCGCTGTGTTAAATCACATGGAGCAGAAGTGAGTATTTACCTTTTACAACTGTGATCATTAGATTGCAAATGATTCGTATTTAACACCGAAGAAATAGAATTTAAGTAAAAATTTTTGTCTTATCTATTAAAAATCATTGTGAATGCTTTGGATATATTTTATACATTTTTATACATTTTGGCAAACAAATTTTTTACAAATGCATAAAAATTTAAATGCAATCTGTTGATCATTGTACTTAAAAATTTCGTAGGAAAATTTGCAATAAAATATTGCGTCATCTTTTTAAATATTTAAACTAGAAAGCGTTGGAGTTACAATTTTTAAAGTAAATTCGTTTCTTTTTTTTTTTTTTTAGTTATCCAATGGCAAGTCAAGAAGAGTTAGCGGAGAACTCCGATAATTGCGCCATTTGCTGGGAGAAAATGGAGACAGCTAGAAAGCTACCTTGTGCTCACTTTTTTCACAATTCTTGTTTACAGTCCTGGTTAGAACAGGACACCTCGTGTCCAACTTGTAGACTAGCTCTAAGCATGCAACCTAGCCACCGTGAAAACACACAAGAATTACCAACCGAACCACAAACGCCAGCCAGACGAAATGAAAACCATTTTTTTCATTTCGATGGCTCAAGATACGTCTCCTGGTTACCAAGCTTCTCTGTTGAAGTTTCTCACAATAGGCTACGCGGGAATATCTCCACTATTACACATAACAACTCGCAAATGGATGCCATGATTAGACAGGTGCGATTAATCGTATATTTTTATGGTTGGCTTGACGGCGAAGTTTTCTTCTTGATAAATTATTCTTGTCCACTTGTTAGTGTTCTACTAACTGATTCAAACTGTATTCAATTCGTGGCAATTTACTCGAGGATTGTCCCATATTGAACTTACCTATCATCAAATTATAATTTTGCTTTTATTCATATGTATAATTTTGTATATCAAAATTTAACAATACCGTTTCATGATTATTATAGAATTGAAAACGATATTTACGTTCATGTAAACATATGCATCGTTGGGATACAAAACAGTTACAAATATTTATTGAATTAAACAGGTGCAGCAGCTGTTTCCACATTTTCCGCGCAATCTAATTGTAGAAGACCTCAGAATGACGAGATCAGTCGAGTGGACCGTTGAAAATATCCTGGATGGGGTGCTGATATCTCCTCATCACATAATCGAGGAACCGCAGTCGGAATCCGTCCTTCAAATCCATACCAGTACCATGGAAACTAGTGTTTCTTTAAATACCCCTTCAGCGCCGCTACCTTCAGATCCAAGATTTGATATTCCTCTTGCTGATAGGTATCCTCATCGTTTCTTCGTCTCATTTGCTTAATTGAACGCTGAATAATTCTGACATTTAATGTGAATAATTTTAATAACTTCAGCGGCGAGGAACCTTTCAGTCTGGGAGGACGGTTTTCTAAATCATCATCTGAACGAGAACAGATCCTGCAGCGTCGCAAAGAACTTCTGCGACTCGCTGCTAAGAAGAGATACTTCGAGAAGCGCCGAAAAAAGCATGAGGCCGACCAAAATGTTTCTAATACCACTTCTTAAAACAGGAAAAACAGAGAGAGAAAGAGAGAGAGAGAGAGAGAGAGAGATATGTCGATAAAAAATTCTTGATTTTTCGTGCTTCGTAGCGGCCATCTTCTTCGAAGAAGAGCATAACGACTGATTTTCTTGAGTACACGTCCACCGACATTCACTTACTTTTTTTTTCTCTTTTTTCTTCTAACTTTTTTTTTGTGTCTGTTTGCATCCACTTGTTATTTTCTTTTATTTCCTTTTTTTTTAGCAGGCTGTATTCTTTATTCCTTGGTTTGTTCCTAAGAATTTTTGAATGATCTTAATTATCATTGCATCTTTAATGAGGTGCATTTTTTTTAGCAGCGGTTTCTTTTTTTTTTTATTATTAACTTTTTTTCTGTCGTCTTTTTCCCGTGGAAACTTCGCACTCATATTTGCTTTTTTCGATCTTGCGTATCGTCATATCGAAGTCCCGATCTTTAGGAATAGTTTTCTTGAAAATTCTAAGCTCCTTACTTGAGAAACATAGTTTCCTTAAGAATACGTTTTTTTATTCTTAAGAGAAGATAAGGACAATTAACTTAAAGTATTAGCCGTTTAATTCTTTAGCAATAATAAGAATTAACTTAAAAGTATTACTCGCTTAATTATTTTTAATTCTTATTTATTAAAATAACGATTAAGAAACGAAAATTTTCGAAAGTCTTAATCCTTTCTTTTCAACATTTCTTTGTTTTTCTTTCTCCCAAAAGACATTTTTCGAAGAGCTTCTAATCTTATGTAGAAGAAAACCCTTAGAAAATAGAATTTTTTTTTTTTTTTTTTTTTTTTTAAGAAATTTTTTTTAGTAGCCTAAATATTTCTATTCTTTAAAGTCTTGTTTTTCTATTCGTAAGGAAATCATTGTTCTTAAGAATAGAAAAAGAGATTTTAATAACTAATATCGACTGGTTGTGAATTATATACTCATTGGCGGAGTAGAGGACTGAGATAATATATTATCGAAGATTTCTTTTTTTTTCTTTTTTTTCATTCAGTTAAACGATAAAATCGTGTAATGTTTTTAATGGCAAATGATTGTTATAATTTTTGTTATTAATTTTAATTTAATCTTGAGTACAAAAAAAAAAATTGATTGAGAGTATATTTTTCCTAACGTGAAACAATGTTATTTTATTTAAAAGATCGTGTATTTGATTAATTTTATTATTTGTATCTTTTATTTATGTATACCAGTAAATGAGGTTATATTTAAAGCAATGAAGTTTTATTATTTATTGAAATCTGCAATTTGCATAAAAAAGTAATTATATATAATTATTTAATTATTTCCATTATTTTTTAAACCATGCTATTTATTTTAAACAATGGATTCAAACGTGATAATAATGCTTTTGGTAGTCTATTACAAAATTCAGTGAAATCTCATTTTGCCTTTTCAACCAATGAAATTCATAACAACAATGTGTAGAATTACATGTGCAAAAATAAAATCTGCGAATCCTCTTTCTGGACTTATTCCATGAAATTGATTTTTATTTTGGGGATTTACTTGTAGTCGTAAGCAAACTGAAACACACAGAGAAAGAAATAATTAGGACATATCCACTAATGATCGTTAATACAAATGATTGTATGATTTAATAAATTAAACTTAATATCTTTGTTACAAATTAATTAAAAATACCTATGTAACTCCATATTTATTTCAATAACAATTTCTGTTGCATATCTTCCTAATATAAGTATTTATATATAAACAGGAGAAATAAATAAAAATTTGAGTCTCTGATGGTTCTTTATGTAATAAATTGCAATTAAGAATGTTAATCTACCAAATAATTTTTATTAATTATTGAATTATTGAATCTGTTGAAAGAGTTATTGAGTATAAATTTTCACTTATTATAAATTAATAAATGGTTTATGTGAAAATAAAGGATAAAATAGATATGCAATATGAAAATGAGTGTTCACTATATGATTGAAAACAAAAATGAAAAATCAACCTAAAATTAAAATTTTTAAATGAAATGCAATTCTTCAATACTTAATTAACTAATAATGACAATATAACTGAAAATATAGTTTAGCAATATACCTTATGCAATAAGCATCAATGTTAAAATATAATAAATGTTATAATAAACAGGTTATGTAGAAACTATATAATTATTGCTAAAATAATTAGTAATTTTGACATTTGTTATAATTATAAAAAGATGTTTATAAATTTAACAAAACTTATCAAATATAGTTAACAATTAAAATTCAAAACAGAAGAAATAATCACTGGTAGTAATTGGTACAACACAACTACGTAACATTATTATTTCACATTGAAACTTTAACAAATAAAATTTAAATCTGAGTATATGTGACAATAATTGATGATGATACCTCCAAGAACGAAGCAAGAAACACTGGAAATAAATCCACTGAGAAAACTATTGAAGGGGAATGTTCCGACTAGACAACAATATATGAATTCTATGACACCAGTTAAAAATACATAAAGTAAATAAGCATCTATTATTTTAAGCTTCTTCGGCGTATTTTTCGTATATTCCTGCCAAAATTTCGCCACAATCGTTAACACCGTCATTTTGTCTACAAACTATTTTTGACGTTCGTTTTTAGATTAGATTGAATTTCAACATCAGCATGCGTGGCAGCGGTGTTGTCTGAACTTTGGAGAGATATCAACATCGATTATTATCGATACCAACTTTTGCGATAAATTTGTGGAAATTGTCTTTGCAAGTATTGATAATTTCGATATTCTTTTATTTCTGTAACTGTAAATCTAGTTAGTGATTCTATTCCAAATTTTGTTGAACAAAAAGTTTTAAAAATTTCAAGTATCGAGAACAATCGATAGTTATCGCATACGTACACTGTCGAAAATTTTCAACATCATCGATCTCCGGCGTATTGATGTTTGTATTCAACTATAGTTCGTGGAATGCTAAATATCAAACGTCGACGTAAATGCAGTGAATAATGTCAAAAAAACGATTGGACATACATTTTTACGTGATAACCAAATTTTAATTTCTGCAAGCAAAATGACGGACGAGAAAGCTCAGACACAAGAGTTCAAGTTAGACCCAGACTGCGAATTGAGATTTGAAGTTGAATCGAAGAATGAGAAAGTCACGCTTGAGGTATTTATTACATCTTTTTTACACTCTATGTTGCGTTTCATTATTACTTCCATCAATTTCGTCTGCTTTTATTTCCATCTTCACTTTAACAAACCTAACCTAAACCTAATCAAACCATACCAGTTAGCAAATTATACTAATCTTTTTTGGTTTTTAGTTGAAAAGCGGACTAGCAGAAGTTTTTGGCACAGAACTTGTGAAAGGCAAAAAGTATGAATTCATTGCCGGTGCAAAAGTAGCTGTATTTACCTGGCAAGGTTGTACAGTCGAGTTAGTTGGAAAGACTGATGTTAGCTATGTAGCTAAAGAGACTCCGATGGGTCTCTATTTAAACTGTCATGCCGCAATGGAGAGACTGAGGGAAGCTGCGGAGAAGGAAGACACCAGAGGTCCAATAACAATGGTTGTTGGCCCATGTGACGTAGGGAAGTCAACTCTTTGCAGACTTTTATTGAATTACGCAGTTAGAATGGGACGTAGGCCAATCTTCGTGGACCTGGATGTAGGCCAGGGTCACATAGCAATACCTGGTACTGTCGGAGCACTGCTAGTCGAACGTCCTTCTAACGTAGTCGATGGATTTAGCCAGCAAGCACCCTTAGTTTTTCACTTTGGACACAAATCACCACAGGCCAATGTTGCTCTTTACAATCTTCTCGTAACTCGCCTTGCAGAGGTCTGTTCTGACAGACTTCAAGCGAACAAAAAAGCTAGGGTGTCAGGGATCGTGATAAACACTTGTGGCTGGGTAAAAGGGGATGGATATAAATTATTGACACACGCTGCCCAGGCTTTCGAGGTAGACGCGATTCTGGTACTGGATCAAGAGAGGTTGTACAACGAGCTCGTCAGAGACATGCCAGACTTTGTGAAAGTCGTATTCCTGCCTAAGAGTGGTGGAGTTGTAGAGAGGAGTCAGGCTCAAAGAACAGAGGCCAGAGATCAAGGTGTCAGGGAATACTTCTACGGTTCCAGAACGCCGCTCTATCCGCACAGTTTTGAAGTGAAGTGGAGCGAGGCCAGATTGTACAAAATCGGAGCTCCAGTGCTTCCTGCATCGTGCATGCCGCTTGGAATGAAGGCGGAAGATAATTTAACGAAACTGGTAGCTGTTACTCCTGGGCCAAACCTCCTTCATCATTTGTTATCTGTCTCGTTTGCTGATTCACCAGAGGATGACGTAGTGCAGACAAACGTGGCTGGATTTGTCTGCGTGTAAGAATTATTACAAAATTATTATTACACATGTATTAATACATGTATATTTATATATGAAATTACTCGTTTATTTTTAAAGATGTTAGTGCTAGAACGTTTTGTTTGTTAATAGGACCAACGTCGATGTTGATAGACAAACGTTTACAGTCCTCAGCCCGCAACCACGACCATTGCCAAATACAGTTTTATTGTTATCGGATATACAATTTATGGACAGTCATTGACTTTTATGCTAAAGATCTTAATAAAGTAAATTTTTTTATTATATAAATGTCTTTTTATTATCTTCCTCTATTCTTAATTCAGTAATAATTCATTTTCAGATAATACATTGATTCTAATAAAAATCAAATGAGGTATATAATTATAACATTATATACATTATAGCAATATATGACTATTTTTATAATATCTGTAAGCAAAATTATGAGATAATAAAAACGAATTGTTTTTTAAATTTCAAACGAGCGCTCCAATCTATTGGATATGATTTCTAAATTTTTATACATGTGTTTTGCAAGTCAAATGGAATATAACATGAAAGCTGGGGATTTAATTTTAATGATACAATTGAAAAAGTTCACAAATCAATCCTATTAATTGGTTTTTTTTTTTTGAAATTGAAAATTTGCTCGATTCATGGATCCTGCGGTGAAACTGTGGAACTAAACGCTATGGCTGTCTTTGTCGCATACTGGTGCGCTCCTTGTTTACGGATGGTGCTGCCATCTGAGCCAGTTTATTTTCTGTTGGAACTAAAAGGACAAATTGGAAAAATCCGATAGATGGCAGCACCTTGTTCATAGACAAGGAAAGAAACAGCGTATGACAAGGACAAAAATAGCGATTAGTTCCAACAATTTCACCGCTACGCGGCGCTAGCATTTCAATGTCCATAATTCGGCCAATTTTTTAATTTGCAAAATAAACCAATTTGAGCCTTAACTCGTGGTTTTTTGCGATTGTATAATTCTTTTTAGAGCTTCAGCTTTTCTCTTATACCTCATTCGTCCTGTAAAATACGTATATAAAGATTTATAAATCTTCTCAATAATTCAAGGCACCTGCTCGAGTAACATTTAATTTCTCTCGCAAATTACATCATTTAAAATCTTTTTTTCACTTGAACGGGCGTTAGCCTTGTTGTATTTAAAAAAATTGTCACGAGTTATCTCGTAAGAACGTGAGAACGAAAGAAGTAAAGAGACTGTGAAGAAAAAATGAAAAGCATTCGATCCGATGTACCAGATATTTCTCACTTCGAGAGGAGACTTCGCGAAATAATTTACGAACATCAACGAAATACCGTAAGGACGTTTTTCTTAAGTATATGAAGTTTATGTTTCTGATGTTTCTTCGAATCGAAACGAAAAAAAAAAAAAAAACGAAATGAATGAATTTCAAAAAGTAAAGTGATTCAATTCAAATAAAAAAAAAAAATCTCAACATTTTCCGGCCAGGCAGAGTTGAGCAATTTGGAGAAAGAACGTTTATCGATACGCGAGGAGCTTTGCTCGAAAGATCATCTGTTGCAAAACGAGCGAAGAATATCGAACGAACTGAAAACTCGTTTGAAGACGGCGTCGGTGACGATCAATCGTCTGGAGGAGGAAAGAATGCGTGACAAGATCGATTACTCGAGTTTGTCAGCAAATTACGAGACTTTGCTTCAGGAGCGTGATATCTTGAAGAAGGGGGCTCTGTCTTGCCAAACGGAAGCCGCGAAATTCAAATTCAAAATCGAGAGTTTAGAGAGCACGTTGCGGCGGGAAATTCAACAGAGAGAGAAGCTGCAACAAGCGTTGATGGAACTAAAGAACGATTACGAGAATATAACCGTTAATATCGATAAGTAAGTCGTTATTTTTTAGAAAATTTTCTCGTTACACAAAACTAGATGATTATTTGTAGTATTATAATTCTAATCATTGTAAATCGCTCTTACTTTTAATTAGGAATATCATCAAGCTTGGAAAGGAGCAGGAGTATTTACTAGACAGTGGTAAAGCTACAATTCTCTTAAACAAACGATTGCAAACCTTTGGCCTTTGTTCCCACGCGATTAACGAAAGGAACAAAGCACGTATGAGAGATTTACAACGTAAATTAATCGCTTCTTCTATTAACGAATCCATGAAATTATCCAGTAATGATACATTACATCCAGAAGTCGAGAATCTATGTTCCAAGGTATATAAATTATATTATATATATAAATTATATTACTATAGTATATAAATTATATTACTTTTTCCTCTTTTCTTTTTCTTAAATTGACGAATATATTTATAAAAGTCGTTTGAAGTATCTTATTGTCATTGTCGTGAAAAAATTACCAAAAGTATCTTATACTATTTATGTATAATACAATACCAAATGTATCTTATACTATTCATGTATAATACAATACCAAATGTATCTTATACTGTTCATTGTGTTTGCTGTTATCAATTCTCGCTTTTCAGTTAAAAGAAATGTTGACAAATTTAAAAATAAAGATGCAAGATTCTGCGTCATTCGAAGAGAAACTAGACAGGATCTTCAATGAGTTCTCTACAAGCCTTAACGCAAGTACAACAACGATGAAAACAACTGCAACGAATAAATGAATCAGGTCGAATGATTACCAACATTTATTTCATCTCAGTTTCTCGATACATTCTGATAAGTAAGAGGTTTATTTCGACTTGATAAAATACTTCGAAATAAAATTACATTGCTTATATCGTTATAAAACATGTTAAAAAATTATTGATAATTTTGTATGTACATCATCCTTGCACTCGAGCAGTTTAAGATTGTAAGATTAGCCGTTAATTCGTTGCCATTTCTTTATTTCTTCCATTTTGTTAAGAATTGAAATTCAATGAAAAGAAAAAAAAAAAAGAACAGAAACGAAAAATTATTCGTATGTGATGCATAGTTTCTTTCTTTCTTTTTTTCTTTTAAATAGCATTACATATACTAAGATTAAAAGAAAAATCGACGTTCAGTCGTCATAGTCGTATAAATAACATCAATAACATTATAAACGGAATTACGTAACATTATAATTATTGTACGCAACTAATCGATAGCATTTGACAATGACAATTAAAAAAAATTGATCGCAACTCCATGTCAAAGGAAAGGCAGGTTATTACAATAAAAATAGACGAATAGGATTAATATAAAATGTATTATAATAATCGTATATTTTAAGTATATAAGTGGAAACAGATTGGAATCCCTTTTTCACAGTTTTCCAAGGGGAAACACCAAAAAAGAGAACCCTCTGTTTCTTTGGAAAAAGGAAACTATTACAACAAGCGTTTCAAACGAAGACGAAGTCCAGTGTTCAATTTTTTTTCTTGTTACCTTTTTTTATCCATCTTTTTCTTTTTTTCACGTTGTCATCTTTTTCCCAACAACAGAGAGAAAGCCAGAAATAAAAAAGAGATGAAAAGAAAAATACCGAAAGAATACTCTTCTCTTCTTCTTCTCATATTCTTAGAATTCTGGATTTGCGCTAATTAATTAATGAATTAATCAAATGAAGAGTCCCTCTTCGATCTGGTGAAAAAGCTAACTTGACGATGTGTATATAGATATATATATATAGATACAGATATACACATATCTATATATATATATATTTCTTCATATATTTATTTATATATTTATATATAAAAAATGACCGCCCATTGTTCACCTATTCGCATCCCCCTTCCTTTTTGTATTTTATTTTTTTGTCTTCCTTTTACAGTGTCTTATAAAAAAAGGAAGAAATTTCTCGTGCGTCGAGAGAGAAATCTCTTTCTTTCGTTTTCTCTTTCTTTATTTTTCTTTTTTCATTCGTTTAAATGAAGCGAATGCAAAAAAAAAAAGAAAAATACACTTGTTAAAAAATCGATCGTACTCCTTGATTAATTGAAACTTGGAGGAGAAACTTTGTATGCATGGTATGCCAACGCAAAAGTACAAAAAAAGATCTCATAATTTCCATGTCTATGCACTTCTGTGTGACTTATATATATATATATAGCCGAATTTTAATAAAACAGAAGCAAAATTCCTGAACTCGTGGAATATCGGATAAACGAGAACAGAAATTTCCAAAGTATACAGCAGCTTGCGAAATTATTCAAACGCTTGTGGACATGAATATATTATGAATATATTGCGTTGTGCAAAACTTTTTAAAATTACAACGTTGCAGCAAGATCTAACTATCATGAGTATATTCAGTGCATCAAGATATTCAAGTACTTTCACAGAGATCTCACAAGAATATTTATTACATAATAGGCCTTGATATTATTTCAAACCTAATCTAAACCATTTTTGATATTTTGTGGTAAAGATAACCATGTGTTGCATACTAATTTTCGTTTGAAAAATGTTATCAATATAATGATGATAGTTGTCTCCTATTATACTGGCATCGAAACTCATCCTATTAAAACTTTTAAAATGTTTTGCACAACATGCAATATACGCATAAAAATTTCCCATGGTAAATATAAATAGTTCCACAAGCCACTGTAATTTAACACTTAAAACAAATCAACGGCTGCTTATTGCTTCTACAGGTGACCAACTTCCAGCTTATCGTCATTATTATTATTCTCAGTTATAGCAAAGCCTGCAACATATGTGTATGAATCGCATGACAAACGAAAATTGATTTATTTTCTAAATTGCTCATTGACTGGTTTAAAAGGTTAAAATTAACCTTCCAGGCATACTGATATCGATTTTACGCGACATAAGCGTTTTAAAGACTGCTCGATCAATTGCACTCCTGGTACTTTGTTACGAAACGTGACAAGTAGAAACGATGTGATTTATGGTGGTATTCGAGCGTCATTAAAAAATTATCAAAAATTATCACAATTCGCGATTCGTTCCCTTCGAGAAATTCTTGAAGGTGTCTTTTTATTTCTTCTTCTTCTTCTTTTTCTACTTCTTCTTCTTCTTCTTCTTCTTTTTCTTCCTCTTCCTTCTTTTTTTTCTTTTTTTTACTTTTTTTGTCATTTTAATTTCTTTTCGAAAAGAGTGAGGGGAAAGACAGTTTCTCCTCCAGGATAAAAAGAGCTCCTATGTAATCAGTAAAAAAGAGAGACCGGCAGCGACGGAGGGAAACGAAGGTGGCCGTCAAGGAGTAAAATCACAGAAGTACTCGCGACGTGCAGCGAGCGAAGGAGACCGAGGGTAAAGAGTAGTGTGTGATGGTCGAGGTAATGCCGGCTGAAGGGTCAGAGTATAGTGCACCGTGCAAGCCAACTTGGTGGCTTCCTCTGTGGCTCGGATGGTTTCAGCTGATGTCCTCCTCCCTTTGGTGGATTTGATGCCTCCTGTTCAAAACAATATCACTGTCACTAATTTTATATTCTATATTTCATTATTATGTATCCTGTTTTTAAGTATAAATGTACTGCAGATATGTGAATTCATATTTCTGTGGATTTTGGAACAAAACTGTTTTGATTACTAAATATTCATAAAAGGTATTATATTTTAAATATTGTATGTATTTTTGCATCTTCAAATTTATTACAAATGCATATAAATCCACAGTCTAAGTGACAAGTCATTTCAAACGCACCATTCAATTAGACTGGTACTTGTTGATGCTTCTATTATTTGTGTTATTTTTATTATTTGGCTTGTTAATATTACAAACATTGAATTTTTATGGAAATCAAATGAAATGTCCCCCAAAAAAGCGTATTAATAATTTTAAAAAAGATACTAATCACTATTGTGTTTTTTATATAATATTAAATATTTCATGTAATATCTATATACAACAAATTCTTTTCAAACCACATGCAAAAAGTATAAAATGCAATAAAAAAAGGGATTTAGGAGGAAGATTTTCAAAAGGAAATTAAAAATATTAATAGAATATAGTTAGCATAAAAGCAACAATAAGAAATGAAGTTTATAAAATATTATTATGTTAATATATGCATACATAAGCTTTTAATATACATCTTATTACATAATAAAAGCATGGTTTGATAAAAGGAGCAAATTTCAACATAAACAAAAACATGCATACATAATGATATTAATAATTAAATCAGAATTTTTTACAGTAAGTGATATTTTAAAACAACATTTTGAAGAGAATACAATTTGCAATGAATTTATAATTAATAATAAGCAAAGAATTATTTTTTAATATTTAAACAATATATGCATGTGTTAATATGAAATGCATGCAAATTACAAGTAGGTATACAAAACATGTAATATGACAGAGAAAGAGTTACCTTCTGCCGAGACAGACCCGCACCAAACACAGAGAAACAGACACAGGAAACAAAGAAATGGTGGTTAATCAATATAAAACTATTTGCTAGAACATATCTGTAAAAGCAACTAAATTATATCTAAACAAATATTAATCTTCATCTGTGTAGAACGATTAAAATGAATTCCAGAATTACTACTGAAAAAAATTAGTGCTACATTTGTAATAATTTCTCATATAGTTAAATCAATAGAGATTCTCGTAATTCATTCAAAAATATGATTAAAAATTTATAAAATTTACTAATATTAAACTTTTTACATGGTTTAAATTTAAATTTAAATGTGACATACTTGAACAATTGTCCTTAAAAATTTCAACAAATCTGTATTTTATTAAAAATTTGTCTTTTTTACTATTAACTAACTATTGATGATAAAAAGTTATTACTCAAATCTTTTTTTCATTTTATTGTTCTAACTATAGAAAAAGAAAAGAAGCAGAATCATATTGAAAAAACATATTTACCAGTTTCTTTTCCATTTTTGCCTTAATGTCTCGTGCAAGAGTGTAAAATGCCTCCTCGACATTGATACTAGACTTAGCAGAGGTTTCCATAAATTTGATTCCATATTCAACAGCAAGTTGTTCTCCTCGTTCCTTTGAAACTTGTCGCTTCTCTGTGAGCTCACATTTATTGCCCAATAACATCTTCTCAACATCCGCCGAAGCATTTTCTTCAATGTTTCTAATCCAGTTCTTTATGTTCTCAAAACTTTTCTCATTGGTTACATCATAAACTAACATTATACCCATTGCACCACGATAATATGCTGTGGTTATTGTACGAAATCTTTCTTGACCTGCTGTATCCCTTTAAAAAGATATAAAACAATGTTATTACACTGAACAATTCATTTAAGTAATCTAGTTTTCTTAAGAAATAAAAATTGTTTTCACAAAAATATTTGACATATATTAATTTCGAATAAACTAATTAAATTCTAAATTTCTTATATTTCTATTAAAATCAGGTATCGACACTCGTATTCATTTTAATAGTTATATATTATTGATTTATATTTTAAAAGACTGAAATGATTACTTAGTACTTACCATATTTGTAGTTTTATTTTCTTGCCATCTAATTCTATGGTCCTTATTTTAAAATCAATTCCTGGAAACATGAAATAAATAAGTAACGTAAATCGATAGTTTAAAGAATTTATTTATAATAAAGAAATTAAGTAATACATATATATATTTTTTCTTTTTTGAAAATGCTTCTAACATCTTATATATAATAAATATTCTAATAATATTACAAATCTCTGAGGATACTAGACTAGATTTCAAATTGATTTCAAATATTTTAATAAATGTTTTCAAATATAATTCTGTAATATCTATATTCTTTATACTTTTTTCTTAATTTATTTAAAAATTGATTTAAATCAAAGTTATATAACAATTATAAACTATTATCAGTTACAAATCATTTACAAATAAAAGAATCCATGTTGTGCTATGAATATTTAATCATCCATGAATATGCATTTAGATCAACATAAATTTATTATTCTGCATGACTACACGAAACTATTATATAGAATTTCACACAATTGTTAAGCATTTTGAAAAAACTTCAGATTGCTTCATATGTATTTTTCTATTAATGCATTTCAAACATTTATATAATTGCCTGTTATTTTTTGCATTAGAATGAAAAGTTTGCAACATATTCAAACTATAATATAAAATGTAGAATATAAAATCATTATTCTCTGAAATTGTTTTTCATCTCTAATTATCTTAAAAACATAAGTACATTTAGTTACATAAAATATTCTAGACTTTATTTCATAAGAAAAATAATTGGCTGATCTGGTTTCATGTACTTTATGTAATTTCGTGATGAGAAGTTTAATAATTAATACTGATAAAAAATCAAATTTTTTTCATATAAAACTTACATTTAAAGTTTTAACTTTTTGTTCAAACTACATATACAAATATAAAAAAAAAACATAATACAATGTAAAACATATGACTACCAAGTAATGTGATATTTCCAATCTTATTTCATGCATCAATTTTTTTTAATTTACTTGATTACAAAATCGAATTACAAATTTACACAGAAATTTATTGACATTGAATTTCTTACACATTTTATCATATTTGTAAAAAACATATTTCTATTAATTCATTATTGAATTTCTTTTAATATAATACACATAAATAAATAAGAAAACTTAGTGTCAAATGTTATTAGCTATGCCTAATTTTAACACTTGTATGTAACATCAATTTCTTTTACACATAAACAAAAGCTTCATCATACAAAATGAAGTATACATAAATAGAAAAGAATGATTTATCAAGTTGCACGAATATTTCGTAAAACATATAAATAGCTAACTCTGTATATAGAAATATAAATATTATACATACATATATGTATATAAAATAGATAACCTAATATATATATATATAAGATATGTAAGATAAACAACTAAATAAATAAAGATCCTTCTATAAATTTCAATAAACCAAAAAGAGAAAGACTATCTAAATCAAGAACTTGGTATACAAAATAAAACAAGCAAAAGGTACACAAATTACAGAACAAAAATAAATACATTACTAAGCTCAACAAAGAAAATTCTTTCTACAAAGATAGTGAGTGATATTCAAATGATCGTTGCATAAGCAACGAGCATCTAAATTGGTTCTCTAAAAGGCTATATCTTTAAAAAAAAAATCAAATATATGGCTATATTTACACTTTTTAAAATAGGAAACGTTATTGAGAAAAAATATTCTCCTGACAATTCAAGTCTTTCAATCATACACGGAGACTTGATGAGTAATTCGCACACTGATATTCATTCAAAAAATATGTACTACTAATCTGAAGCTGCTTCGAAATCTGTAAATAAGATTGAACGAATAAAAGCAAACGAGAAGAATGTTAATAGAAAAGAAGAGGTAAGGAAAGGGTGTACTTACCAATGGTCGAGATGAAGGTCGTATTGAAAGCATCCTCGGAGAACCTGAAGAGGACGCATGTCTTACCGACTCCTGAGTCACCAATCAGCAACAACTTGAACAAATAATCATACGTCTTCGCCATTGTTTCACAGTTGCACTCTCTATTTCACTCCGATACCCTTTCGCTCAACTTCTCTCTATTCCTTCAGTTTTATTCTCTCAGTCCCTTTTGATACGATCTTTTTCTCCCGTGATCGTGATCCTTGGAATTCCAATGACGCACCCTTTAAACTTAAAAGCGAGCGCACTCCGTCAGAATCGGTGCCCAACTATCGCGGCGATGCCCGAGCTCAGAGATGATTTAAAGGTGAGACTGTCGCTGGAATATGTTCGGATGCGGTGAAACTCGCGCGATAGATCACGTAAAAACATCTGTCAGAAAAAGCGATGACAGCCATCGGTAAGTACGAGTTTTTCTCTGGTGTTGTGGCCAGCCTTCTGACCGCACCACAGGTGATGCGCGCGTGTGTATACGCATACGCAACACGTGTGTCGGCAACAAGCTGAATCCTCACGCGATTCGTCGAATACATTGCGGCATACACGCATGAAAACTATCCGAAGAAGAAATCTTCACACTGTCAACCTGTTGGCACAGCCAAACTGATGATTGGATAAGCCTGAAAATCCTGAAAATGATAAAAAATATATGAATATGTAGACAGGAAAAATATTTCGTAGTTTGAGTATGTAGACAGGAAAAAGTTTTTAGTTCTTCACGTAAGTTATACGCATCATTTTTTGAGCTGATGTCTTTTTGCTTTAGATACAAATTCACCAGTCACAAAATATAACCTAAACCAAGAAATTGAAGATCGAACTAGCTAAGTGTTACGTATATAAAATAATTTCTTTAATTACGGGGAAATGACTGCGACTGGTGGCAAAAAGCGTAAAGTTTCTAAAAAAAACAAAAAAGCATGGCGTAAATACGTGGATATGGGCGACGTTGAGAAATTCTTGGACGATTCCCGGCTAGAGGAGAGGTTAGGTTCCTTCGCTGCTCGCGAGAATTCAGACTTGTTCGTTGTTTCTACGACAGGACCGGTACTTTCGAAAAAACAACGTAGAGAATTATTGAAATCCAAGGAACCAAGGTGCTTCAGTATTCTGAAACCTCACACGGCTGTCCCAGATCCAATATCAAAAAGAAATCGCGTAAGGACCAAAGAAGAAAGAAGAAATTCCCGATTAAGAACCAAAGAACAGAGGAAAAATGCACAAATCTTAAAAAAGAGAGCTATTCAAACATCTCAGGAATTACAAAATAATAACAACGTAAAAACAAAATAATTATATACCTTGTATTGTACGATAATCTTACATATCTGTATTTCAACATGCGATAAAGCTGAAATTATAATTTATTTTCTACTGAGCTTGTAATAATATGTTTTATCTATATTGTTAAAAGCAATAACAATGACAAATGAAATAAAAAGAAAACACATTTTGTAACCTATAAATATTAAGAATTGTTTAACTGTCCTGATATATCAACAATTTTAGACAAAACTTGCAAATTACTTTCTGATTATTTTTAAATGACTTACTAATTACTCGTTAAATAATTTGTTGATATTAAAATTCACTATGTTTTATTATTTATTTGATTTTCGTGTAGCTATACTATATATAGATCGAATGTTATTGTCATGCGTTTCGTCATAAAGCATCTGTCAAAGGTTGTAGTTCATTCATATTTGAAATGTTTTTTTTTCCAGAGTAACCATGTACCACCATAATTCGAGAAAACGGAATTTTTAACAAGATCATGGCACTTGTGTCTGACCTTAAAGTACAGGACTTTTATAAAACGATATTTAACGCATGTAATATAGTCATTCCCGTGACAATTATTACAATAATTGCGTTTATTTCGATTGCATTTGAAAGGTAAGTAATTCAAATATTTGCATTCTATTGAGCACATTTCGAAATATATATTTTTGTTATTCATCTTTAATTCGTATTTTGTTACGAGGTTATTTCATTTTTCTCATGGCTTTATTTCTTCATTCACAAAAAAGAAGAAAAAATATATATATATAATTTTTCTTTTATAAGATAAACTTTTTAATTTTATTTAGTTTAATTTATTTAGTTTACATTGAAATGTAGATACAGTACATTATATTTTATACAAAGTTGATATAAAAAGCAAATGTGATAATTAAACAAAAACTATAAGATTGTATCAGACAAAAAATTAAAGAGCATAATAACATGATTGATTAATAAATTTCAGCTTCGTCTGGGTACTTGTTGTATGTGGTCTCTATATAACGAGTGTTTTTTATGGGCTTGTTATATTGGAGTATATTGGTGTAGCACTTGTGAATTTAAATGCAATAAGCGACACATTTAATCCAACCTATGAGATCAAGGATCTGTGCGGTGTTTGCAGTAAAAATAACTGCAAGAGACATAAATTATTACCACATTCGACCAAAGTGAAGATACCAAAGGATCTTGATCATGCATTAGAACAGGTAAATCAAAAACTCACTCGACTCTTGCATTTTCTTGTAGATATTCATGAATAAAATTCTTATTTAATTAATGCAATGTTTTGCAACAGAACAAGAATACCAAAGGAAGAATAGATACATAATTGATGGATGTAAAATTTATTTCCACAGCTTCTAGAAGATCTGTTAGAAAAGTATGTTTGCGCATGGTACTCGGACTTTTCAACGAACGAAGCATTTGTACAACAGCTTCGTTTAGCCTCGGCTACTGCAATGAAAGACATTGCAGTCAGATTGCTTCGTACAGACGTGCCCAACGTTATATTTTGCCACTTGATACCTTTGGCCCTGCAGCATGCTCAGGACTGGAAAACATTCAGCGTCAAAATGAGAGACGTATCTAATACATCTTGCTTTGGAAATCAATTGATCGATCATTTTGGTCGTCACATACATCCGGCGAGTTACTCGCGTAAGGCAGAATTGAATTATCTGAGAGGAGTTGTAACAGCGATTATACCGTATTTATTACCGGCTATTCATGTATCTACTAACAACAAAGTTAGTTTAAAAAGATATCAATATCTTTTCTAGACTTTTTCATTTTTATGATACATGTATATCAGAAGTGCTTGTTTTTCTAAGCTTGCTTCTCGCATATTCAAGATTCGTTGATCTGTCCATTTTATTTTCAGGTCATACTCAGAGAAATTTTGGCCAATTGGATCTTGCTGCCAGCAATAGACGCGATTGCTGATCCGGATAATATAAATGCACTAGTAGTATTGTCGACTCATCGTGATGGTTCAGTGTCGAACCAAGTAGACACGGTTAATGTACCGATGTTGCAATGCTGGGTGACAATTCCCATGATGCCAAAAATCACGCAGAATCACCTGAAACCCTCGTTGGATGAAATTTTGAACGATCCTCGGTTATTGTACATGTTTATGCAACATATTAAAGAGACTGGTCCTATGAATCTCTTTCAGTTCTGTTTAGATATTGGTAAATATATATTTTGTATACACTAAACTTGTATATACTAAACAAAAATGTTGGTACTGATTAAAATTTCTTTAAAAAAAAAAAAGCTTGTGAAAATTACAGTTCCTTATTCTTTCTTTTTCAGATGATCTAAGTAAGCGTATGTTAAACCCAGAAATGAGTTCGAACGCGGAAAGTACTTTGTACACGGATATTCAAAATATGTATGCAACATACTTAGATCCTGACGGTCCAGAATATCTACATTTACCGGAAGATATATCGATGGGTATACGGCAAAGTAAATATACTCCGTTTTAGAAAATTTACTTGCAAATTTATATACTTTGTATAAGTTATTGTTAATTTAAAATTTAAATTTTCAATTTTAAGACTGTGTTCAAAACAATACGTTTTTACGTTTTAGTTTTAGAAAGAGGTTCAAAGAAGATTCAGGAGATGAGAATTTCACGACCATTTTACGAAGCACATCAAGAAGCACATGCTTTGTTAGAATCTACTTGCCTACCACCTTTCCATCATAGTTACCAGGTAAGAAAATTGAAGGGATGAATTGAAGACAATTGTTCCTTATTTTCTGTTTGAACACGTAATCATAATAATCTTTCGTTTATTTCACTTTACAGTTGTATGATTTATTATGCGGACGACCAGACCCAAGTCGAGTTAAACAATCTCCACGATTGAGGTAATGTTTTTACACTTATAGATTGGAAATCGTGTAAGTGAGTGTTTTAATTTTTAAACACTAGTTACATAAATGATTATTTTCCTAACTTAAAAGAATATAAGTAATGGACTATAAGGAATTGCATCATTATGATTTTCAATGTAAATTTTTGCATATCACAAGCATTTGTGTATCTTTGAATTTTTCACAAGTGCCTATGTATTTATAAATATCTTTGGTTACATAATCTTTGTTTTTCTTAAATTTTCGTATACTTTAGAATATAATTATTTTTCCATTTAAAGTGTTACCGGTGGATCCGCAAATGCAACTTCAAAGCTTGGAAATCATTTTCCAAAGATTGACAGCGTTTTGAGATTATCCACGATAGATGGGATGCCCTATCAAGACATGTACCAAGGAGAAGAGATAGATTACCCTTCTCGTTCTTACAACGAGATCAAATATTCTGACAACAGTTTCCACAGAGATTTAACAACGTGGCGAGTTAGCATTCCGCATATTGAAACCGGAGATAATCAAACATTATACGTCATTGCTGTCAATAACATTGCTGAGGGAAAATCCTGGACTGTGTTGCGCCGTGATCAAGATTTTTATATCTTACGAACACGATTGGCAGAATTTCACGGTGACAAAGAATTGAGCGACTCGCCATTACCATCGAGGAAAAATCCTCACTCATCTTGTGCCATTAATAGACAACGATATGAGGACTTTTTGGAGAAGTTGCTGTCAAAACCGGTGCTCAGAAGCAGCGAGTTATTATACAACTTCTTAACCATGCCAAATTTGAAGCCTTATTTCACCAATTATAGTACGCCAGATATTGGCATATTGTATCAAAATATGGCGTATAAATTACGGAAAGAAAAAGGACAAAATTTAGATAAATTTATGGCAGTGTTTTTGTCTTCGACTAATATTAAGAATGATTATGCTGACATTGGAGTTGAACCGTCGAGCGAATCAACTGTTCAAGAAACAGGGAAAAAAGGACGCCGTGATCTTTTATTTGGAGCATTCGGCAACAATCTTGATTTGACTCTTAACTTCAAGACTTTGCCTTCTCCTTCATTGGAACGATCTCACGTTAAAGGCGCCTCATTCTGTATTGTAGATGCTGGTAAGTTCCTCGTTTTCCAATCAATTATTATTTATTATTATTTAAAATTAATCTGGATCGGAAGAATATATTGTAATATTCTGATATATTGTTTCTATGTTGTTACAGTAGTGAGATTACTGAAAGTTCCATCGGTGATTTCTCGAATTCTATGGATGTTTGCCTCGTCATCACGTGCAAAAGTGGATCCATACGTCAACGTTCTACTTTACAACGCTTTGGCGAAACTTCTAAGCGGTGGCCGTGCAGCAAACGTGGTGAAGCTTCTGCACGCAAAAGTTTTAGGCGAGAAGAAAGATTTGCCTGCTCAAGCGAGTCGTCGAAATTACTATGAAACAGCAAAAACTGGACTGTATAGTTTACTACCTTGTTGGTTAATGGGATTTTATAAACCATGGATTGAAATAATGGATTCCATTTTGGACTCGTTACAAAACGCACCCTTTAATAAGCATCTTGCGTATATTCTTCTGGATCAAATTTTGATAAATATATTTCCAGAGCTCACCGTTTAAATTTTTACATTACATTTTTATCGCGGAGCAACTTTCAAAGATTATAATGTTACTTAACTAGTCGTGCAAACGTGATTCAAAAAAATGTAAAGTACATATGATAATTTGTACGTACAATAGCAATAAGTAATTTTTTAATGATTATACTGTAAATATACGTAATGTTCTTAAGAAATGATCTGTTTATCCAATAATCTGTCTCTAATTTTTGTCTAGCTGTACTGCTTAAAAAAAAAGAAAGGAAAAAGAAATTCTATACTAAAATATTCCTTTTAATCAAGCAAGTTGTAGAATATTGTAGAATAATGTAGAATAAATGCATATTTAGTAATCCAAATAAAAACTGATTTTTAAGACATACTACATGCTTCTTCAACTCTTTATCTTCTGTAGAAGTCCATCACTCAATAATTTAGTAAATATTCCACTAAAACCTGTAACTGGGCAGAAACAGAAAAGTCAATCAATCAGTGAAACGATTTTAAGAACAAAACGTTCGTTCGTTACAGATAGTATGGTATATTTTATCCAGATCCTACTGGTATTGTTACATACAGTTTTCCCTATACGTTCTTTTTTCCAGTTTTTTTTTTCCAACAATTTTTTTTTCTTTTTGGTTTGTCGCTTTATGTACTCTTTGTTAATATAAAACACGTATATAAACATAGATCGAGTATATTGGTGTTTACAATAATGTATGGTTAAAAAAAATCGCACACCATTTTTTCGTTATTTCGATAATACGCTTATGCGAAGACATCGTCATTTTGAAACGGTTTGACACATTTCTTTTCCATTTTACTCTGTGCTGTACTACAAGTTCTTTTCTCTCTCTCTCTCTCTCTTTCTCTCTCTGCAGTGTCTTACATGCTTCTGCTGCTCTAGCTTGTGGACAAAAAATTATATATATATACATATATACACATATATATATACGTATACATATATATGTATATATATGTATATGTATATATACATATATGTACATATATACATATATATACATATATACATATATATGTATATATACATATATACATATATATGTATATATACATATATACATATATATGTATATATACATATATACATATATATATGTATATATACATATATACATATATATATGTATATATATACACCTCGTAGCAACGATACGACTTATTTTGAAAAATCAAACCGATTCCCTTCGAATCCATTCGAGCGAATTATTGTAATTAAAAAAAAAAAAGAAAACAAGATATATATATATATATATACACATATATATCGAAGAAAAATAGATAAAAATTCCCGAAATCGAATTGAGAGTCTGAGAGAAGAAGTGGTAAGAAAATATTTCCCGAGATTTACATATATATCATCCGTCTTTATATAGAATAGGATATATTAAATTGTTAATTACTCGTGTGCTGAGAGCGAAAATACAAATTCCTCTACCATATCCTAATACAATAAGACTCTAAGCAAAAAGGTGCTCGGTAAGGTATGCGTATCGTATCCAACGAAATGTTATTTAAATAGTAATTTAAAACGGGCTAACATCCGAGTCGCAGGTCTCTTGCGAATCGTTCCTGAAAAAAAAAAATTGAACACGTCCGCAGTTTGACGAAAGTATCTTCTTCAACGATTATTATTATTATTATTACTAT